TATATTGTTAAAAACATCGAGTTTACTGATTTTGAATTATGCTTAATTGATTTTCCTAGTTAGTTTTTTCAATTAAAAGGGCTCAAATGCGCCTTAAAAACCATCGTTCAAAAGGCTGAACTGTGCCTTTAATTACTGGAGGTCCCAATGGGCAAATCAACCTCTCTTAAGCGGACAGATAACAGATTGTCTGATAAAATGTATTCAATATTCGACAGTAAATAACAATTGAGATCAATTTACATGGTACATTGACACGATCAATTTACATGGTACACGCCAACTTGGCGCGAAGACATCAGAGCCAAGATTATTGAGAAAGTGAGGAACGAAGACGGAGGACTGTGAGCCCCCAGCTATGATGATACTCAAATTACACACCTAATTACACACCTTTGCCCCCTGCTGTGTTTTTCTACATACCCTTTTAAGCGGACACCCCTTTTAAGCCGACACTTAGGCGAGGTCCCGAAGGTGTCCGCTTAATAGGGGTTCGACTGTATGCAACTACCTGAAAAATATAAGGAGAATTTGGACGTTTCGAGCGAAGGCCCGCTACTATCTCCCAACGAAGAGCCTTCGCTCGAAACGTCGAAATTATCCTTATATTTTTCAGGTAGTTGCATGCCTACCAACGAAAGCTTGTCACGTGATAAAAAGCCGATATAAACTATTAAACTTTATAAACAAAAGATAATGTAAAACGTAACAGAACGGCGAACATGCAGATTCAGCCATCTCAAATAATGGTAATGTTGGGATAGTAGCGTTGCAGACTGCAGAGGAGAGTGAACCACCCCGTGGAAAACCTGCACCCCTCCTTGCAGATGAGGCTAGATCCGCCCAGTGGCGTGCTGGCAGGGGGGCCGGGGGGCCACGGCCCCCCCAGCTGGCAATTCTTGGGGGGCGCAGAAATGAAAGGGGGGCGCCGATCCCGCGCCGAATTTTGAAAGTGGGTGGGAAAAAACGCATTCGAAAAAATATAGTTACTTCCGCCAAGAAAACAGGGTAATACAGGATGTGCACAGGCTACCAAGAAAACGACAAAGTGATATATTAATTAAATTACAGACTATTTTGTCTATTAAGCCGTATTTGGCATACTAATTGCTAATTTGCTACTTCACGGCGCACACAAAATCATTTATATAGGAACATGATCAGTGATCAAACGCAATGTCTCATTACCGAAATATTGGTCAGGTTTGGAAGCGATCACGGGAATTATGCCCTTTTTTGCTGGTATTATGCCCTTATATTACGCCCTTTATTAGAGAGCGGCGCAAATTAGATAGTTGAAGTTATGAGAATGTAAAGTTGAGTACTCAATTTAGTTGTTTGCGCAAGAAGCATCATGAGTAATGTAAGTAATGAAATAATGCTGAAACGGCAGCCAGGCAAGGAAACCTTAAAATGCATATGCGTGGGGTCCGTGTATTATTGTATAAAAGAGCTGTAAGTTGTAAATGTATTCAGATCACTAGATCAGTAGAGAATAGAATTGGGATTAGATTAATCGCTGGAAGTGGTTAGCATTGCATAATTTAAGTACAAATTGCAAATTTCGACACGTTATAATGCTGTTTCCTGACCATCAGATTTCTGTCAAATCGTCCCCCAAAGTCCAGGAAATGGCATTTCAGAGACTCTAAATTCAAAAATTTTCCTGGGGGGCATGCCCCCGGACCCCCTTAGACAAACCTCGCACCGTCGGCGCACGGCTCGGGCCTTCGGCCCTCGTTTATCAAGTGTAATATTATAGGGGCGCATATTGGTTGACAGCCCACTGGCCCCCCCAGAAAAATAGTACCCAGCACGCCACTGGATCCGCCCCCTGAGGCTAGATTACCTCAAGTAAGGTAGATGTATTATTTTTACACTAGATATAAACAGCAACAGGAAAATCAATAAGAAGCCATCGACTAGTGCGTGTTATTATATCTGTCAAGACTGTTTGGTGCATCTTGGTGATCTAGGTAATAAAATAATATAATTTTCACTATCACCTGTATTCTAAAAGCTCACTCACACTCAAAGAGTGGAGCTTTTCTTGAGTGTCTGCTGTTTTTGAATAGCGGGAGGGTGAGTAGTCGCATAGTAAGGTACGAGACTAACCCTCCGGCTATTCAAAAACAGCATTGACACTCAAGGGAAGCTCAGATTGAACCTCCACTCTTTGAGTTTGAGTGAACTTTCAGAATACAGGCGTATCAGTGCCTTACACTTATACGTCTGTAGATAGTCAGAATTTTCAAATTTATTTGAGATTTTTTCCCCAGCTCGTTACAGAAATGAAACTGTGGAAGCTGAAGTCTACTACAAGCAAGCCTTGCAACTGGTCCCAACGAATGGTATATACATGCATGCTTATGTTTTGAACCTTATACAGTACATGCATCTCAGGCTTTGAAATTTGTGGTATTCCGATATCCACAGGATACTGGGTTTCAAATTTCAATTCTCTTTCGCAAAGGTATCCCATTGAAGAGTGCTGAAAATTTCAAGCCTTTCGGCTTTTTGCATATTCTACAATTACCAGGGGTTAAAAATGCTTCAGAAATGCCGTAACTATATAGGTCGTTTTGCCCATGTTTTCTGCTGTGCATTTCCAGTAAATAAGAATAAAGATGTTTGCGAGCATTTATCGAGTTTCAAAGCATTAGCCATTCCGAAGTTGATGAGAGGACTGGGGACGAGTGTTAAAAAGTGCCCAAATTAAGAAATGAACCAAATCACTAAAAAGACCACCTCAAAATTAGTAAGTATACAAAGTTTGAAGACGTTTACATGAATACACTTCGAATAATAAGCTTTCGAAAATTGTGATATTTACTATGAAATGTAATTCTTGTTTTTGAGACGCGCGTCCCAAAAACAATCTTTTAATCAGTAATTTCACAATTTTCGAAGGCTTATTATTCGAAGGGTATTCATGTAAACGTCTTCAAACTTTGTATACTTACTAATTTTGAGGTGGTCTTTGTAGTTATTGGGTTCATTTCTTAATTTGGACACTTTTTAACACTCGTCCCCAGTCCACTCATCAACTTCGGAATGGCTAATTGAGAAGATCAGCGTTACTGCATGCAATACACCTTTTCGGATAGTACATCATTTAGAGCCTCGTTTTCGGGTATGTGATATTAGTACATATATATATCAATGGCGAAAACGAGGCTCTATAGCCAGAAGGGTGTAAAAGATATTCCAGAAGGGTGTGAAAGCAAATTCCAGTCAACTTTTCGTTGTAGACTAATTTGAACATCAAAATTTCTGTTCTGGGACCATTTTTGCCTACGCCCCTAAACACAAAGGAGCTGCATTAAGTGTTTGTTATAATTAGAGTTCTAAAACGCACAAAGAATTGACGTGTGTGTTTAATGGGTTTTTTACAGGTCAGCCCTACAATCAACTGGCGATTTTAGCCAGCTCGCGTGCTGATACGCTGGGAACTGTGTATTTTTATTGCCGAAGGTCAGTCAGAATATTAACATGCGGTTTTTTTCAAATTTTGTCACAGATGTGATTAATACACACGTTAATTAAAACGCACAAGTTGTTACAAGTCTGCAAAAAAGTTGTTACAAATATGTTCACAAACTGTCAACAAGTTGTCCTCGCACGGCTTGTTCCCAGTTCTTGTAACAAGTTTGGATCAAACTATTAATAACTTGTAACAAGCTTGATGGCATTATCAGACTTGTAGCAAAGTTGTTCTAACAAGTCTGATACATATAATACTATTGTATTGAAACACCACGTAAATTTATAATACAATCATGATAATGAATCTGATACAATCATGATATAACATAAGTCTGATACAATCATGATATAACAAGAATGTTACAAGGTTGATGACACAAGGTTGTAACAATACTGCTATATCATGACTGTATCGGACTTGTTGGAACAACCTTGTAACAAGCCTGATAATATCAACAAGGTTGTTACAAATTGTTAACAGCTTGTTCCAAACTTGTTGACAACTTGTGACAAGCAGTGCGAAGACAACTTGTTGACTGCTTGTTAACAAACTTGTTACAAGATGTAAGATTTCTGCTTGTGTATGTGCCATGCCTGAATTTGTACGCCCAATAATATTTCGTCAAATGTCCGCCGATAACTGCAAGGCAGTTAAAATCTCTTTATGTGATATATTTGAGGAGAGTCAAGGGTTACATTAGCGATGCTCTATCGCTGGTCTCATTAACTCGTTGTTTTCAAAAGTTTTTAATACTGTTTGTTCTCTTTTCCTTTAGTATTGCCGTAAAGAATCAGTTCCCTGCTGCATCTACGAATCTGAATAAAACATTCAGTAAGGCGTGTCAATCTGGAAACAGGTAAGCAATGTCAAAGAAAAGCTGAATCAAATAAAGTAAATACTGTTGTTAATGTCTCAACCACCTCAAAAATTATTAAAACCACTTTGATTTTGAAGGGAAGACACTGTCTACAGCATGTACCAATTTCCAATTAGAATGATTTTTTCTGTCCGACGTTCATTGGGTTCTAATAGGAAAATTTAAGTTCCTATTGGAATTCCAATTGGATTTTTTTTGTAAAGTTTGGACAACTTGGGTTCTCACTTTTGTGATATATCAGCTGTACGAACAGTTATATTCAGACGTTCATCAATTTAATAGTTGACAATGTTTTCTTTGAAAAATATTTTTTCAGTTCACCTCCTGTTGAAAAGATCGCCAAAGCTGAATTTATCCAAATGTTCATTCAGTTTCATGGTTGCATTTATCTTGCCCAAGGTAGGTTGTTAAATTCCGCATTAGAATGAAGGTCGAACAGTATATGCTCTCATTGTTTTATGACCACAGTAATTTGAGTAATAACATGATGATAAGCGAACTGTGAACAACAATTACAATTCATTAATTCAAATACAATAATCAAGCAAGACTTTGCAGCAGTCAAGCAAGTTGATGGCCGGGCGGCACACATGACCGACACAACTCGGCACCAGAACTGGCAGAGCATCCCACCCCACCCCCTCCCTCCCCCACCACACCATGCTGGATCCATCCCTGTTTATGACATAACGTTTTGGACAGTTTTTAGTGCATGTCAGTGACTGTGATTCGATTCCAGGAAAGACACTAATTTTATGTCAGTCAATGTCAGTCACATTTTAGATAAGTGCTACCAGTACCAGAGTTTGTCTATACCGCAGATTTTCTCCTATTTTCCCCCTGTTTCTCTTGTGGTTATACTTGAGCAACAAGAGATGACTCTTGATAGGCTTCCAGGAAGAACAGTTTAGGGCTATCCAGTAAAAATCGTCAAGTTTATTTTATATTTTCATGCGATTATTTGTTTAGATCTCAATGTTGCCAAGCCATTAACTGAGAAAGCAATCCCTGAACTGAAGGTACGTTTCATTCGCATAGTATATTGATTCCCTTAAGATAAACTTGCGAAGGATGCATTGATTCTCTCTCATATTTAGACGTTGCTAGAATCAGATGATCTTCCTGCGAGTGATCTTATCAAGTTGGTTACCATCAATCTATTCCTACTGTATCACATCGCCTCTCTTGATGATGGTGATGATTATGACAGCCTTGGGAAAGATGATCACCACGTATGAATTTTTTGTTTTATTGTACAATGAAACCCTAGCTAGGAAACTCTCTGAATATTAAGATACCAGGATAGTACAATGTTTTTGATATATTTTCTTTTTTGTTTAGGATTCCTGGGTTGTTACTTTGGACTTTACAAGTAAGGCACTTGACTTATGTGCGTAGTAGAGCGTTCCGGAAAGTACTTAGCCTTGATAGAAATCTCGTTTTCATGATTGAGAAACCGGTTTTAGAGTACTTTGTCTTGTTACTGGTGACCTAATAAATATCTGTTTTTATAACTCTATGATTTCGTAAATATGTCGTCACCTGTAACGGGATAAACCCAATATCTTGATCACGAAAACGAGGCCAGATTGCCAAGGCAGAATACTTAACAGAAGGGTGTATTCATTGGAATATACTTCAAGGATATGATTAGATTAGATTAGATTAGATCGGATGGAACATGATATGATATAACATGACATGACTTAACTTGACGGAACAACAACAAAGAATGGAATTGAATTGAATGGAAAAGAAGTAAAGGGAAAGGTGTTTTACCTGAGTTCTTAATAGACTGATCTTCCCGTTGTTTTCCAGTGAAAATGCTGCAGTGTTTTGTGGAGAGAGCCACGCATCAAGATGAAGCCGAAGTGAAGAATTCTGAAGATTCATCTCTTACTAGCATCTTACCAGCTATATTTATCATTTGTCAATGGTTGAAAGCTAACTCTCCGAGTATATTTAAAGATGATGTTGTAACTGATCAACCTCAGTAAGTTCAAAATACGAAACGTCCATGGAGGAAATTGTATTCTTACTTATTCTTTTCATTTCTTCGTTGTCCTTTTCAGACTTTGGTTGGATTTTGTGAACATGTTGAATAGTTTTGCTGTTGACAGTGGACCAGAAAAATCAGGTATTGTAACAATAACGTAACTCTTTTTACTGTATGCACGCTGTCTAACTTTAGTACCGAAATATGAAACTTAATAGAATCATGCGTTTATCTTCATTCAGACGCTGTTTTGCCAGAAGATCAAGAATTACAAGGCTTTCTACCACTGCAAAGTGTTCATAGGTATGTTTCTAAGTGGCTGTTTATACTGTCAATAGGGCGAGCCGGCCCGGGTACCCGATCTGGCCCGTTTCAGGCGAGATCCTGCCTTTGTTATTATGTCCGCTAAATTTCATCTTGTGTTTATATGGGCTGATATGAGCTGACCTGCCTAAGCAAGATTGCGCCTCAACTGTCCCGGGATCTTTGGTGACCGGACTGGGAATTTCCCATATAAACGCAAATATCCGGGCTGGCTTGCCAACTCGGGCTGAGTGTTATTGCTGGCGAGCCTGCCCGCCTCAATAGTCTCATGTAAACAGGGGACGAAATCAGTTCGCCAAAGCGAGCTAGCTCGGGTACCTGGGCTGGCTCGCCTCCACATAAACATCCCTAACAACTCTTTTATGGTTAGGGTTTAGTTTGCTGAAATGCATGGGTGACAGAACTGAAGCAGAAGACCAATGAAATCTTGTGCCACCCAAATTTGTCTTCTTTATGTGATTTTTTGCACACATTATAGAAAGCTGGAGTTGACTTCGAAACAAAGCTCCAAAAAGGATGAGCTTGTTGAAAGGAAAACAAGACTTGTGGACTTTGGCGTTTATTTATCTCGCCATTCTAACGGGTATGTGCTTTCCAAAAACAACCGAGAACTGTATAGTGCTTGCATTATTCCATAGTACAACATTATTTAAATTTAATCTTTTTTAGAATTGTTTCCTGTCAAAAAAGAGACAATGGATACTACAGGTTTATTTCTGTAAGTCTCATTATCATCACTTTTAATTTATTGTCATAGTACATGTTTCATGAGTCAATCATGAGCCGGCCTCCGGCGATTTTCGTCGTCAGTTATATTCAGACGTTCACAGCGTAAACAATCGCCGGTTTTCTTTCGAAATCATACCCAAGATATTTCCTCCATATCACAAAAATGTCAAGCGAAAGATTTCTTGTTGTTTTGATAACATAAATTTTAAATAATATTCTTCGTAAATCATTCGATTAATAGACACAAACTTCAGAGCTACTCTCCCAAATTGCTAGGAATGCCATTTCAGAGGGTCTAAATTTCGAAATCTTTACGGGGAGAGGCCCTCGCCTCCCCCCCCCCCCCAAGGGGAGTAGCACCTTCGGCACTAAAAGCTCACATACGCTCACACTCAATGAGTGGAGGTTCAAT